TGACGAGAAACTAATTTCCACACCATCGGAAGGGAGGTGAATCCGGCTCGTGTAAGACGCAAACCGACCCAAAATCTAATCTGGGTGGTTTGATGGACGCTATGCAGAGCGCTGCCTGATCACATCAGACAAACTGATACAGGGTAAGCACACTTCCATGACATTTCGAGAAATCACATCGCTGCATTGGCATCCCTATCAGATTTGTACCAGCAAAGAAGAAAAATTTGGTCATTTTTAGGTACTTTGACGCCATGAAATCTGGTATGCTGTGGCCTATTCCAAAGTTTACCTTCATTTTCTTCTCTTTTTTGACCTTACCCAGTTGGTGAGTTAATCTTAATGAACTTCTTAAGACAGGTGAAGAAATTCACACCTTAGAATGACACCGGAGACGGGGTGTAAGTGGGTCAAATGGATGAGAATCACTGAATAATTAGGTGCATTAGAATTTGTAAATACACAATGTAGGCAGTGAAGAATGTCAAACAACGTCCAGGCATTAGAGAGAGTGGAGCATCTTTCACCTCAGTCAAAAAACGGTTGCCATACAGTGCTACTTAAATTCGACTAGTAGAGGGGTTTGAGATACCACCACCCTCGATAGTCTACTTTAGGAGGCAAATCAACTATCCCCTCCCCATACTAGGTAGTATAGTTTATGATTATACGTGTCACATGTGTGTGTATGTGCATTACATTTATGCAAAGCTATAGGCAAATTTTTCGCCCGATTAATCGCTTCACTAACTCCCCTGCCTGTTTGAATGCATTCAACAGAGAGGCCGTTTTCGATGTGACTAAAAGTGACCTCCGAAAAAGCGCATCTTACTTCCCTCACTTTAGGGTCAAGGAAGAAGAAGTGTACGGGTTTATCTCCATCCGCCTTATCAAATGTACAGACAGTTTTTCGTTAGTGAAACCACGATTTAACTGATTGTTCTCTAAATCTCAATTTCAGTCCCTTGATGAAGTTGCAGTTATAAAGGTGACGGCGAAATCACTTGTGACATTTGACCGACATTTTGGAAAAATCCAATTGCGTTGATATGAGCAACATGGCCTTGAACCGGAGTACACCCAATTTAGATGCGTTGCACATAGGGCGGCGCTAAATTAACCACTAAAATTTTCTGCCGTATCCAAATAACTGATGTGTGGTGCTCAGTAGCGAAGGATTTAAAGAAACGGAATATTGTCCTCTAAGTGTGATGTTGGTATTGTAAACGTTTGATGTTTTGTTTAAGTGCGTGTTTAACTGCGCGGGACCATCAGTCCATTCTCGGCGTCATGGCCCATCGCTTATGCTGTATTGGTAGGAGAGCAGCAAGCTGGTTTGACCCAGAAAGGACGATTGGTGCATGGCCCCTGGAAGACTTTTCCACCAGAGGCATCCGGTTTACGGCCCATGGGTGGCATTTTTGGAATGGGTAGCTGGTTTCATCAAAGACTCATCACCTGCTTCAATGCGGCATGGGGACTTTTAGCATCTGAAGTGACACTGAACCGGACCATTTAGAGGAGTTTATACAGAAGTTGTTTCTTCTAGCTGGATTGCATCCCAGTAGACTGCTGAGTACTAACACAAGGTACATAAAGTGGCAAGGAGGAAGGGGTAAAGAATGCGAAAGCAATGAATCTACTTCGAATTTGGTCCTTTATTGAGTGCCTCTTATGTCAGACAGACAAATGTTCCCACAAATAGCAATTGGCATTCGAAATGATCTCATTGTAGACCATCGTCTAGCCGTGAGTAATGCAAAGTTGGCGCATTTCTGCCCTCTCCTTTCAATTCAATTTATGAATCGGATAGAGCTTAAACGCGGTGGAACCGCAAACGTACAAACATCGCAGACGTGAAGACGAAACCAACGAATGACGGTGCAAAGTTGTAAATGGTTTGAAACAGTTTAAAGGAGACCAGTGGCCAAAGGGAGAGCCAAGAGCGAGACATAAAGAAACATACGTGATGATTTAATGTATTACTTAGAATACAAGCTATTATCTTACTGTAGACCAGAGTCTCGGTTACAAGGGTTTGCCATAGAGTATAGCTTCTTCGAAGGAGCCTCGCACAAGAAGACTCAACTCTATATCAAAATTAGCGACGCTAATGTAATACGTCAGTTGTTTAACTCTCGGTTTTAGTACAAAACCACTTTTGACCTGGTCGTTGTAGCACGCCAGCTGGGCTGGCCTTCCAGCCATGCCAGTAGCCCTACTACCCTCTGTATGCCAAATATATACATATATGTACATACATGCCCGAGTATTATGCCTTCTTTTGTCTTCTGAGAAGTCTCAGGACGCTGCACCAGTGTCGTTTGCTGGCACGTGGCCATATATTTGCACTTTCGGCTAACATTTTTCCCCTATCACTTTATCTGCGCTAACGCTTTTATGCTATTTTCATTTAAAAAACCTATTTTACATTCAGTTTAATGCTTGGTACCACGAATTATTTTAAAATTCACTCAAACTTTTAATTTCCCCTCCTGCTATTCACTTTACACTCGTTCAATTTTTGTTTATTATGTTTTTTTGTTTCACAAGTCATGTCTGTGTAAAGTAAACGTCAACTCGACAATTGCTAAAGGGATCATATTTTATCCTAAAAATATGGAATATTTGCAAAATTCTGATGACAATGACCGGAATTCTACAGCCTCGATTGTGTGGAATGACACCGTCGTCGTGCACAACATGAAGGGTTTTAGGTAGTTGAAAGGATTTCCACCTCATTTGTTTCTTAGTTTCTTCAATTGTGCCTCTTGTAAAAATAGCCGGAATCACAGCAAGAAAAAAAATGCATCCCAAACAATTGCTGGGAGTTCCGACCCTAGTGTCAATGAATCCAATCCTTCATCAACCGGTAATTATTCGGCATTCAATAAGGATATGCGGAATGGAAGTGCAAAAGAGAATCTTTTTATTGTGAATGCCAATCAGCTTACCAGCTCCCATAGCAGACTTGACGCCAAGTCGGTCAGTCTTACAAACGAGAGCATTGATGCCTCGAAGATAAATCTCCTCCCAAGTGACAGTTGTAGCATTTTAATGAAGCAGTCGGTGGATCGTATTTCAAATTCGGATCACTCAGACATTTATAAGAGGCTTGATGCTGTTGTTCGTCGTTTAGAGCATCTTCTAGACAGTGACGATCTCTGTACTGTTCTCTTAAATTTAATCAGTTACTCTAGTAAGCGATGACCACTCGGGAATCATCATGTTTAACGGCATTTTAAATGAAAATATGTCTTATTATGTTGATGTTTGTTCCTCAATCGGTGGACCGGCTCTGGAGCAGGCGAAACTCGTGAGAGAAGCCTTTCAACTCTGCCTCAACATAATGCAATTGTCCCGGAAATACGCAAAACCTTCAGCAAACGAAATGAGCAAAATTATGCAGCCACTTTCTTTCAAATTGTATGAAATAGCTGTAAGTCAGGGCTTGGCATGCACGGACTTACTATTACCTTATAGGAGGTTGCGAATCGTAATAAATCGCACATACTTTATCAACCGCTTTTGACGATATCCGATTCAGTGAGCATTCTTTCGTGGATTAATATGGTAGGCTTGACATCTCCTTTAAACGCGCAATTTTCCAGTCGTGCTCAGCTGTCTTTGTCAAGGATGTGGAGAATGCAACCAAGGTCTCCGCGAATATCACCACCCAAATGTATCGTGAGTCGTAAGTTTTTTTTTCCGTAACGTGTTAACTTTCGTTTGTGTGATGACCGAGCTTCATTTGCTGTCCCCCCCCTCCCGGCGGTGTCATTTTGACAAATGACGTGTTAGTCGCACGTGTGAACTTCTGTGTCATC